ACAAAAAAGGAAAAAAAAAAAAAAAAAGTAAAATGCAAATATGAGCACCAGTTTGGTGCCAGCTTACAGAAGTTATCCTCAAGTCATCTCCCAAATATGTTACATTTTTAAAAATACTCTGACCTGCCTGTGCGCACGCATACACACACACACACATTTACTCAACTTATATAGATATATGTAATGCAGCTACATTTTTTAAAAAATCAATGAGGAAAATGTAGTAACAGAAAAATGAGGAGAAGAAGCTAGAATGAAGTCAGGAGCAAGGTACAAAGAGGCAACCTGCAGATCATGAAATCCCTTATAGCTATGAGAACTGAGATATAAATTTTGCTCTGAGCTTCCTAAATGCCAAAGCAATAAAGGAAACACAAGATTTCCTGGTGTCCATTGAATAAAAGTTGGTTGACCAGGAGTAGCACTGTTTCTCCTGGTGCTAATACCAGAGAGAAAATTCCCCTGGGATCCTTCTAGTAGTGGCACTGTGTGCTGTAGTGAATGGTAACCTCCACACCTTTCCCCTAACAATGGTAATGCAGGAATGGCAGAAGATGAATCTGATAAATAACAAACGTAGGAAACCCACTTCCTTTTCTCTAACCCCTTTCCCTCACTGGACTCCTAGGCCTTCATCTTCCTGTTTCCCTTGGGCCTTCTGTTGCTCTTCGGCTGTCCAGAGTAAAAGCATCCTTTGCTTTCCCCCTACCCTGTACTTACCTTTCCCAAAGTACCCCATGTTGTGAGAGCCACCCTCCAAAATGAAACAGTTTCTTCCCTGCCCTAATCAAACCTCCCACCTCTTTCTTTGCAGCAAACTTCATTTAAGTGTTAAGAGGCAAGGAGTCTTATGTCAGAATGGCAGGCATACCATTTACTGACTGTGTGATCTTGGGCAATTGACTTGGACTTTCTGAGCCTCAGCTTTTCATTTATAAAATGAAAATAAAAATAGGGGCGGACCAGTTAGCCCAGTTGGTTAGAGTGTGGTTCTGATAACACCAGGGTCAAGGGTTTGATCCCTGTACCAGCCAGCTGCTGAAAAAAAAATAATAATAATAATAAATAATAAAAATAACACTTCCATCATGGGCTGCTATGGGTTTAAATGGAATAAAATATAATATGTATTTGGCATATAGTATATCCTTAATAAATGGCAACTACTACTAACGCACATATTTAATAAAGAAACTAATTAAAAGAAAAGGAAGGAAACTGATATTTACCAAGCAACTACTATGTGCCAAGTAGACATTGTCAGACTCAATAAACTCAAACTCAAAAAACTTTTATTATGATCACATATAAGATTTCCCTGTCATATCTACATTTTAAAGGGAGGATTTGTTACCTAAGTGAGTATCAAATGTGTAGATTGTGTTGGAAGTACATGTGAATTATGAGCTGGGCAGGGGAGTGGAAGGGACGCACAAAGGAATATCTTCCACTTTCTTACCATCTCTTCCTCCAGTCCCAGCACTGAGAGTGACACAGGTATTATATCTTCCATGTCCTAAATCAGGAGAGTTGAGGTTGGAAAAACCAAAGCCAGCATCCCCTCCTTTACCATTGTACTTGGATTTGATCTGAATTAGAAACTCTAGGTCTCCTTTCCCTGTTTCTTACCTGAGCATGAAAGGCTTTAGGATGGTTGTTCCAAGCAAGAAGAACATTAGGACTGAGAAGCCCATCATTGCAAACCCTAGCAGCATGGCTCGGTCCTCTCCAGCACTGGATGGCAGCTTCTTGTGCACATCCGGTGGGTCTCCATCACTGTAGTCTATATACCTCTTCTTCTCCGAGGGAGAAAAAACCGTCCTTTGGGGGAAGTGAGAAGGAGATATTGCGATAAGTTCATAAAGAGGTGGGAACATTCACCAACCCACGGGGATGGTTGGAAGGATGATCCCATTTGATGCCCACCTGAGGGTCGTGAGCAGGTTCACTGCAATACAATGAGAGCCCATGTTCACAGCATGGTGAAAAGTCCACCTAAACACGTTAAAATCATGTTCCATCAAATATTCCTAAAGATATTGTAACAAACAAGAGTAAGGAATGTCGCCTGATAGAAGTCCTTAAGAGATCTGTTTAAATCAATGACTGGAAAATAATTATAAGTAGCTTTCATCAGTTTTATGTAAATAAGTGTTATGAACTTTTTATCTTTCAGGGATAATGTATATTCCTCCTGAAAACACTTTTTTACATTCTCTTATGAATTCCATATGAAAAGAAGGTTCCCTTTTGGAATTAGCAGCATCCTGTCAGAGTTGGGTTTGACCTGCTCTTTCAGATTGACCTGTTAGAAAGGCAGCATATCTGCCACAGGCGTTTTGGCCCATGGCCCAGTCCACTCAGAATTATGAAGTTTTCACTGCTGTCTTCTGTCCCTTTGCCCCACTTCTCCTCCTCTCTGTCCACTCACAGCTGTGCATGAGGATCCCTTCATTTCTTCTCTCTCTCCTTCTGCTCAGCTTGAAAACCTGCTCCACCAGAACATGTGATAAATTCTTTCACGATGGGGTGTCCTGTGAATGGTAAAGTCCAACACAAAGGTCACAAACTAGTGGCCCATGGACAGCATCCAGGCCACAGTTGTGTTTTGTTCGCGCTTCTTTGTGGTTTATTTTTTTAAATGTGGGATCAGTTGCTAACACTTTAAAAAAAAATCATCACATTTCTCATAAAAATGCTGATGTCTGACTTTTGGAAAAATCACAAGATCCCTATTCCTGCATATGAACAGCTGGCCAAGCTGAGCAATGGCTGCTCCTCTGGACAAGGATGGGTTCACTGGTGTGCCACAGTCCTACCACTTCCTATGGTCAGTGTCACCGATTTGCTGCTCCCTACTCAGTAGCCATCGGAGCCCCAGAGGTATTTCCATTTTAAGAGGCTTAATGAAATCTTAAGCTGAACAAATGCATCTCTAATGGAAGAAACTCAGGCTCCATCAAGCTGCCTAGAAAGCTTACTAAATTTTGAAGCCAAGCAAAAACACTATCAAGTGAATTGTTAGTTGTTATTTTCCAAAAGCAGATATCATACTTTTCCAACATCCTTCCCACTTTCTCTTCCTAGCTCCCTTTTTCCTCAGCAATGTCTTCAGACTCTGGAAAGAGTGAGGGGAATTTTAGGCAAATCTAAGATGCCCAGGAGCCTGCTCTGTTCTCCCACTGGGTTATTCCTCTCCTTGTCTATATTGTTTTAAATAGAATGAAATCACACCAGACATAGTTTGCTTTGCTGGGTTTTTTTAAATCTTGTTTTCTTCGTTTAATATAATAAGTACTTTCCCATGTCATTAACAATTCTTTGTAACCCTTCTACTGGCTACAGTTAATGTTCCATCAATTGGATATGCCATAATTTCCTTAACCATTTCTTTTTTTTTTTTTCCTTTTTGTCTTTTTTTCGTGACCAGTAACAGGATCGCAACCCCCAGTGTCGCGCCCGTACTGTGACCGGCAATAGGATCGCAACCCTCGATGTCGCACCCGCACCGCGCTCAACCAGTGAGCGGACCGGTCTCTATATGGGATCCGAACCCTCGGCGGGAGCGCCGCCATGCTCCCAAGTGCCTCACTCTACAGAGTGCGCCACCGGGCCGGCCCAGCCTTAACCATTTCTTTAATGTTGAATATTATTAGGTTGTTTCCAGTCTTCTGACATGATAAACAGCCCTGTAATTAATGNTGGCGGGAGCGCTGCCATGCTCCCAAGTGCCTCACTCTACAGAGTGCGCCACCGGGCCGGCCCAGCCTTAACCATTTCTTTAATGTTGAATATTATTAGGTTGTTTCCAGTCTTCTGACATGATAAACAGCCCTGTAATTAATGGTGGTATTTACAGGCACCTTTCATCCAAGGACCTCAAAGCACTTAAGAATGATTTTACTTGCTTTCTAGTTAGTGAGATGAATAAAAGCATTTTTATTCTTTTTTGTCACTAAGACATCTCCACTTCTAACTAATGTATTACCCTGAGATGTTTTATTCATAGTCAAGGCAGTATCCACCCTCTTTTGTTGTCTTCACTGCAGATAGGACTGACTTTCCCACTACACCTGAGTACAATACACTGCTATAGGTTCCTTCCGGCTCAGCCGAAGGTACACAGAGTTTGAACACACTCATCTGGGTGTGATCCCTGCAGAAGCCAGCAGCCTCTCCCTCCAGCACCAAAACTTGTGCAAGAGGTGTTCCTTAGAAAGATGCTCCAGCTCATCAAAACTTCGTAATTCATCTGACACTTATTTCACATGTGTATGTAATTTCTAAGCACTGGGTACAGTAAGTTAATATTTCCCTGTAATTTGTTTTTGTTGTGGAGGAGACTTTGGTAATTATTTTTATTACCCTTCTATTTTTTAATTACAAAATTATTAAACAACTTCTTTTGAAACAGCAAATGAGAGTGTAAAGTAAACATGGTTCATCAAGTTCAGCAAGAAGGAAGAGCAATAACCCAACTGTGCATTTCAGAAATGAAAATGGGATACTATGTTGCTTGAGGACAACACAGCTGCCTTTATATCTAGTTAATTATATGATGAACAGGGTATTAAAACTTATTAGCTTGCATGTTTGTCATTTGATCTTTTGCCATACAGTGATTCACTTTAATTGTCTGCTCACATAAGCATTAGTTCATATCTAGAAAAAAAGAATCTCTTCCTTTCCTCTGTAGTCCATTTCTTCCTTTCCAAACCTCTACCCCATCCAAACCCCTATATCTCACTCTCCTCCTGTGCCCTCTCTTTCACATATCCTCGAGTGTAGTTAAATGATAATAGAAGTGGGTAATATGATGAATACTACAAGCTTTATTGTTTCCACTGTCTCAGCTCCCAACTCCACTTGAGCCACTAGCAAATCATGCTAGTTTCCAGATAGCGAGTGAACTTGGCTGTGAAACATACTCCTCCCAAGAATAAGCTGGCAAGCTTTTAATATCTCATTTCTCAAACATGTTCAGTCATTGCTCTTCTCTCCATTTTGGTGCCAACTGTGACTGTCCCACTGCCCCACACCCGGGGCAGGCAGAAGGGGTGCAGCTTCTGTTTCTCTGCTCCTCTGCTTTGCATTCCCCTGGGGAGGAAAGGGGTCCTGAAGATCATCTATCTCACTTCCCTCCTTCAGATTAGAGGTGAGCGATTAATAACAATAGCTAAAATGTATACAGAGTATAATGGTATAGTTTATACTATAGAGTGCATAGACAGTATACTACTGTGTTATGGCACATGGGGACTCTTACTATCTCCATTTATCAGATATTGTTATTAATAGACAGTATACTACTGTGTTATGGCACATGGGGACTCTTACTATCTCCATTTATCAGATAAGGAGATGAGGCAAAAAGAGGTTAAGTGACTCTCACAGAGTCACACAGCTAGTGAAATGGTGGAGCTGGCATTTGAATCCAGGACTGTGATTCCAAATCTTCAACAGTGGTGTCAAATGTTGATGTAATTTCCTCCTCCCTTCAGTCAACCAAGAGATATTTATTGAGCATCAACTGTATTCTGGGCCACATTCTAGTGCTGGGGATCCAGAGGAGAGTTTAAAAAGGTCCCTGGTTCCTAGAACTTGCAGCCTAGAGGAGGAAGCCAACAAGAAAGGACACAGCCCCATGCTGTCAGTGCTGCAGGGGAAGCCTCCAGGGTACCCTGGGTGACACAGCAAGTAGACATCCTCAGAAGTCAAAGGCCACACTCACACCCCAAACTCCTTATGGCCTCTCTTCTTCTAACTCCTCATTTAGCAAGAAGCCCACTCTAGGCTGGGAGATTCTGGTGGCGACTTACCTGCCCTGTCGCCTCCGGCCGCCCTGGAGTGTAATCTGAACAGGAATGCTGAAGGGCTGCATGAGACCAGGGGGCTGAGCAAAATGGACTCCTTTCACCTGAGTCTTGCCCTCTGAAGGCCTGAGATGGGTGAAGCTTAAGCATCAGTGGAAGTGGAGTCCCACAGGGAGCCACAAGCCCCCAGAGCAGAGGCAGCTATCAGAAGCACCAGAGCTGCCAACCTGCTAGGAAAGCTCCTGGAGAGGTGGAAATTTGGAGCAGGCCGGCCGGTGGCTCTCAGATTCCCGGCAGGGCAGAGCAGTCAGTCCTAGATGCTCAAGAAGGACCTGCATGGATTTCTGCAGCCAAAGCTTCTATCGTTGCTCAGTGCCTGCCACCACCTTATCACCTGAGTTTCCGCTTCAGCAGCCTGGTGTATCGCCATAGAGACCTAAACGCTTGTGGAAAGTTCTGAGGCCCAAGGGACCCTGTATAATTGGTGAGGGACATGCTCAGTTCAGGGTTTATAAGAAGAGGAAATGTTTTGCCCTGGCCACGTTTCCTTTTTCACAAGCTGACTGTTACAGTGCAAGCTTAGAAAAAGATTTTCTTCTGGTTAATTGCATGTTCTGATTAAGATAATTAGCTTTAATACCATATGTGATTTTCCAATTTTTCAAAACTCAGAAAGCCATAAAATAACACCATCAAAACTATCTCAAAGTTGAAAAAAAAAACTATATCAAATATCATTTTATCTTTATTTGATGACCTAAAAAACATTTGGGGGTCTTTTGATATTCCCAAATTATAAACATCAGTTTCCATTATATTGTACTTTACAGAAATGTGGATGATAGAATGTCATAGCGACCACTTTTACCATATGATTTTTAGTCAAGGCAGTATTATCTTAACATTTAACAAAATGTTGGTGGGAGCAAGACTGTAAGCATAATCTCATCTGTAAATATCCACGAGATGATAGAATGTCATAGCGACCACTTTTACCATATGATTTTTAGTCAAGGCAGTATTATCTTAGCATTTAACAAAATGTTGGTGGGAGCAAGACTGTAAGCATAATCTCATCTGTAAATATCCACGTATATACTCATATAGCTACATAAACTGTTACTTGCAGCCACTTTAATATTGTTTAATAAAATATTTATTTATATACTTCTGATTTGTATCAGTTTTCTGTTAGAGTTATGGACTAGGTCCTTTGTAAAATATTCATTTTTAGTGAACTGATGCAATTTGGAATGAAAACTGGTAGCAACTAGAAATTTTTTCCTTCTGACAACTCCTTTCAACTTAGCCTTGTAAATATATGATAACTTTTCCTTTTAGACTTAGACATGCTAATAAATTCCCCTTGCAACTTGGTATGTAACTCTCTTTGAAGAAGTGAATGATTCGCTGCTACTTTTATGTGTTTGCTTCAACCTCAGAAATATGATAATTTTTGAGCCCATGAGATCCTTTCTTGGCACCCAGAACTTGCACCTGTCTTTACTGGATTTTCCTGGTCATTCACATCTTACAATTCTAGTTTCACTTAGAAGAAAATATTCATGCATAATTTTCAAAAGCTCATCTTAAAAAACATATGAAGAAAGAAAGTGGGTTATTTTAAATTACTTTTAGTCTTAATTCAAGAGTTCTGATAAGCCCACACAGATTTGTTTGGGGTCCTAGACAAGCCTATCTATGTCTTAGGTATAATTGTCACAATCAGTGGCTTATGGTATGTGTCTTATTTTCAAGCCTTGAAGGAGCCTACCTCTTTGTTCCAGGAATGTGGCTGGCCAAGTCTTCATACAGACAGGACGTTCATAACTTTTGATAAGTCTGAACGGCTTGATTACTTTTAGATAAAATCTTGTTCCTAACTTTGAAGTCTCCGTCTCTTGGCAAGTAATATCTGGTCATGAATTCTAACACATCCTCAAAAATTATAGAATAACCCCTGTTAACAAGAACCCAAATAATCTGAATTCTCAACCAAATAGAAGTTTTATTTTTTTATTTATTGCCTTTTCTCTTTCTGAGGAGAAAAAAGACAACAGATAGGAAAATGAGCCTACATCAGATACTTATTTTTAAAAAATAAAATCCCAGGAGAGTTCCTAGGGGTCAATAGAGATTCAGGTAACTCTCTTGTTTCAGGTGAGACAAATTTGTGGTTAGTATGATCCTGACCCCCTGGCATACACCTCTGTCAGGTCCACTGGGCTTGAGATTTTAGCTCCGCGAGGGCCTGGATCTGTCTACTTTATTCATTACTGTATCACCAGCTCCTAGAATACTGCCTAGCCTGGATGCTCAGTAAATAGTTACTGAATGATTGAATAAGCTGGACACTACCTCAAAAATTATTCTGCATATTTCACTAAGGGCAGCCACTTCTAACTAATTGGGGTAGGCTTGAAAGATTAAAACTTTAGGCTGTCCCTGTCCAGATCTTCCATTTACATCTACAGCCTCTCCACATTCTGAATTAAAATTCAAATGATGGCTGTGAGGATCTGCAAGATTCTTAGTTGTTAATTCTTGGTTCATTTAGTGAGCCTCTCCTAGTAAGAGTTCAATTTTATTCACATTCCATCTCAGTGATTCTCAAAGGGGACAGTGCCACCTCCTGGTGGGCCTTTTGGAAACCTGTGGGGTGCTTCTTGGTTGTCACTACCACTGGAGGGGCACTGCCTGCATTTAGGGAGATGGGAGTCAGATGCAGTAGATGTCCTGCAGTTTGCAGGGAAGTCCCAAGCAATGAAGAATTGCCCCAAGTGCCATGGAACGTTCCATGTCCCACTGGAAATTCATGTAGATGAAGAGGCTATTTATAATGATCTGAGCTAAAACCCAACTCCATTTTACATATAAACACAAACTATCTTGTGTCTGAGTATCTTTTGCACTTTTTCAATATCCAATGAATTTTCCTAAAATGCATATACTGTTTAAATTGAGAGAAATTTGTACTACATTTTGTTCAGAACAAATCATAAGAAGAATCATAAGTTCTTCACCATTTTAGAAAACCACATCTCCAACAGCAAAGTTATTTATGGTATTTGAGTTGCCAATAAAATAATACACCCAAATAGGCCTGTTTTTAGCTGTCGCAGCTGCCGTGTTTGTTCAGATAGATGTCAGCTTCTGAGTACTTTATTGTACTACTGATGTAGCCATGTTCAAGTCTTCATGTGGAGAACTACGTATTAAGTGATAAATTACCTAACTTTAATTTCTCCTATGTCCTATAGTTAGAGCATTTTATATATATGTAGGTAGGTAGATAGGTTATACTATCTATGAACTTCATTCCAGAATTACTATTCAATATTTGCTATGAAGGCAACACTAGGGCTGAAGACATCGAACACTACTCTTCTCCTTGCTAAGAAAGAGGACAATTATGTTTTAGGATTTGTTTTTTCAGCTTGACTCAACATTTTCTTTTCCAGCCTTTTTGACACAGTGCGCCAGCATCTTTCTTAAGCCAAATGGGACATGTCTACTCAAGTGGATCTATAGTCCCATCTCAATCGGTTCATTTTGGGAAATAAGTAGGTTTTGACATGCCTGTGCAGATAAACTCACACAATTCCTGCTCTGAAAACAACCAACCTTCTCTGTGTCTCTAAGTTCGTATATAAGAAGAGGTAAGCTGTGCTTTTCTTCTGCACTACCCTGTACCATTGGTTCCAGCCTTTTTGACACAGTGTGCCAGCATCTTTCTTAAGCCAAATGGGACATGTCTACTCAAGTGGATCTATAGTCCCATCTCAATCGGTTCATTTTGGGAAATAAGTAGGTTTTGACATGCCTGTGCAGATAAACTCACACAATTCCTGCTCTGAAAACAACCAACCTTCTCTGTGTCTCTAAGTTCGTATATAAGAAGAGGTAAGCTGTGCTTTTCTTCTGCACTACCCTGTACCATTGGTAGTGTGTTAACCTCCCTGGTCTCTAGTACCTGCTACACAATAGGCTCAAAATACAGTCTCAAATGAATAAGTTGCCCTGAAGGTATTTGTAGCAGAGGTAATGGAGTAAAAAAGCAGAGAAGCAGAGAGAGAGCACAAGTAAGGAGGCTGCCTGCATTTTATCCAAATGTAAGACTGGCACCAATTTATCTTAACCAAAAAATGTTTTTGTTCATCAAATATTATGAGTATTTGAAACATTTTATGTAATGTCAGCCTGGCCTCTTTCTTTACAGAGGAGTAAGGGTTCTTACCGGAGCTCCTTCAGCTTCCCCTCTCCCTCCTGAAATGTTCATTCTGTCACATCACCTCTGCACCTGCCCATCCTCACCTTCCTTTCTCTCCCAGAGGAAAGGCTTCTCCCCATTTCCAAGAAACACTTTTTATACTTTACCCCTCCCCCACCCACCATCTGCAGAATCCTCATCTATGTCCTCTTTTGTAATGTTCATCTTCCCCTCTCCCTACAAAAATGTCCAGATCTACCCTATCTGCTCACTTTGCACTAAGCACCATGCTATGTGCTGCGTGTGTGTGTGTGTGTGTGTATACTCTTCATGTATTATATCCTTTGATTTTCCCAACCATCGTCTGAGAAAAATAATATTATTCTATGTTACAATGTTGAATCTGGGGGACTGAGAGACTTTCCCAAGTACCACAGTTAGTGAGTGGAGGGGTCAGGGTCCAGACAGCCCACGTTGCTGCTGCCCACTGCAGAACAGCTTACAGCTTCTGACCTTTGCTTCCCCCTTTTCTGTCTCCTTAAAAACCACTGTGATCTGACTTCTCTGCCCCATCACTGGAAAGTTGCCTTCTTTAAGGTTAATAACCTCCCAATGATCAAATCTATTCTAGCACATCTTATTTTTAATAGAAATTTAAATTACTTGTTTCTCATTTTTTTTAATTTGTTAATTAACTCTACCAGTGGTTCTCAATCCTGGCTACTTCTGGATTACCCGTGGCGATTTTTTTTTACATATTTATTTTTAATAAGTAATATTTAACCATGGTTCACTGTTTTATAGTGAAGAGTCTTCCTGTCCCTGTCACCCAGCCACCAAGTCCCATTCCCAAGAGAC